AATAGGAGAGAGCCCAGCGATCAGCGTAACAGTCTGATGGTTTGATGGGGAATAACAATTCCATCTCTTCGTGTCGCTCCGGCTCATGAACTGCTACATTTAAGTCCCTTGTCCTCGCACAAGTGTGAGCCTCAAACCAAACAGGACGTCCCACGCAAAGCACTGCATAGAAGACGCAAGTTATCCTGAACCCACTTGTAGAGTCTGGACCGTATAGGGCGCTTTGAACCTTACATCTTGACCCCAATACTATCTGACACGAGAACTTACCTTTGGTTGGTTCGCTCAGAATGAAGGAATCAAAAACACCGAACTCATGATTATGGGTTATATAGGGGCCACTATGAGGATCCGTTCCTTCATTCCTAGCTAGTTCGTGTTCGTATCCCAGTCAGGAATCATTCTTCCTAAGCCCTAAACCCGCAGATTTCAGGTGGCCGTGATCTTTGGTGGACCTTACGGCCGTTTCAGCCCGCGGTTTCAGTGTTCAGTTCTTTTAGGGTGTGCTTTCGGGCTTCAAGATGATGCGGCTCATTGTGGAGGTTTAGTGATTTCAGGGATTTGCAAGCCGCTGGCCCATCAACTTCTGGTAGCCAATGAGGAGCAGTTAAGCTTGGGGTCTGAGCGGCTCCATGTCTGGCAGCAAGCTCTTACCACGTCATCGTCTGTAAGGTGCATACAGTCGTGGAGTCTTCAAAGAGTTTTTTCAAAGGATTGCTTGTTCTGCGGGGGGGGTGGAAATGTGGGAAAGGATGGGCTGAATGATGTGTGCTTAGCTTGTGGAGGCCTTGAGTTCCTCAATCTCACTCTGGAGCAGCATGTCTAGCTTCCAAATGTGTTCTGGGGTTTCAAGAGCAATGTGTTCTCCAGCAGAGAGGCTGAGAGATCAGGGTTGATAGTACAATGGTCAATGAAGATGTCATCCGTTCGTTTAGTCCTTGCCTTGCAGGTCCCTTCTTCACAGTGAGTCTGGGTCACCCTCCATGTGATTCTGAACGTCACCACACGACAACTGGTTTCCAGATTGTCCAGTCACGAGAGCCCGCAAAATTTCTACCCCTGATTCATGAAAAAGCCTGACAGCCTTAAGCTTTATCAGCTTCAGGCGACTGCGTGGATCGCAGACTTGCCGCGGCGATCTTTGCCTTGGGGACCTTTGCGCCGGGCTGGCCAGATCCCCAATTTACCCATCGTAGGGGCGTCTCTTTAGGTCAACGGCTTAGGGTCCAGGAGTCAGATTTCCAGGTGTGGTTTAGGACTTGCACAAGATCTTGGGTTTCCAAGATTCCGGTTTTTTAGGGTTTACGGAGAGTTGAGGGTCCAGCGGCCAAACGCTCATGTAGACGTCCAGACGTGGACCATGAGGGATTGCCAAGAAGTGTATGTTGGAGAGGGTGTCAAAGTTGGCTTATGCAGGTTGACTGGAGATTCTGGGTGTCACATTATTGTTCAAGCATTTTGTTTTGCCTGGTTTTCATAACAACATGGGGACCGGCTAACGCCGCAATGCCGCTGCGACCTTCTTCTATCGTTCTGCTTCTCGCTGTTGCAAGTGGTTCTGTGCCGTTTGGGTAGTTACAAGGGCATTGACGGCCGCGCATCGGTGGTAGTGAGCATGGTATTTGTGGTGTTGATAGTGCCTGTTCGTTGTCGCTGTCCCCGTCGCGGCTGTTGTGGCTGTTGTGGCTGTTGAGCTTCTTCTTCTTCTGCCTTCTAATTTGCTGTGATCATATTACAGAAATTTCCAGTTTATTTTCCAGTACCCCAACATAACCCCAAAATAACCCTTATATAATTGTTGTTGTCCATGGGCATCGTGCTTCTGATTGTCGTGCTGCTGTTGGCTCTGCTGATGGTGCTGCTAATGGTGCTGCTGGTAACACCGCCGGCGTGGCGGCGGTGGCGGCAGTGGGTGGGTGATATGAATGTCAATGTGGCGGCGGCTGCGGCGGCGGCGGCGGTGGTGGTGGTGGTGAACGTGGTGCTGGCATAGAAGGTTTGGGGGCGGGGGCAGCAGCGGCAATGGTGGCTGTCTTAGTTGGTTGGTCATGATCAGTCACTTGTCCTGTTGCTGTGGCGGCCTGCCTTTTGATTAGGACACCATTCAGCAGGCGTGTGAAATGGTCTTAGGTTTGAGGGCTGCGGAGATCATTGTGAGGTCTTTGGATCAACAGATTCCACTTCAGAATGATGACCAACTCTTACAACAAACTACAGACTTCGGTTCTGCTGTACCTTTAATCAGAGCGGACAGCCTCCCACTTGGTTTCTGAAATCTGAGACTTGGCACACAGGTTTCTGTCTCAAGCAACGGCCCATTGTCGTGTGCTCTGTTGCTGTGGCAATTTTCCGGAAGTCTCTGAAGTACCAGAAGCTCAGGCCCAATCTGAAGAAAGGTAGCCGTCCAGAAAGGGATTCAGCCCCGACCCGGAATTGGACCCTACACTAACCTCAACTTCTACTCCGGCAGTAAGTGTAGATTCACTCGACCATCAGGACCCTGATGTTTTTGGGAAGCAATGCGCGCGTTCCTGCCCCAAGCGCTCCAGGGGTTCGAAGAGCATTTTGAGGGCTAAATCGGATAGGCTTATCGGGCGGATGTTAGTAATAATATTCTGAAGGATTACATATTCGAATCGTACCAAGATCCAATAAGACTTGCACAGTACTTCGGCTATGGGAGCCATTTCTCGAGGATGGCAAGGAAACACGCAACTGAAGGGTAAATGAAGCCCTGCAGCGATCTCTACAGATAGACACAGGATGTAGAGGGTTTTCCATGGTTGGGAGTCCAGGGTCAAGTATTTCGGGACTTCGGCTTCAAGATGTATGACGCTTTGTTGCAGGGTCTGAGGTGCTCGAGGATATGTTCTAAGATGAGGCCTGGTGTCAATTGCTACACAGCAAGATCCTCAGCAGTGTTGTTCATTTACCCACCACCGAACTTGTAAGGGACCTTTTGTAGGCTATGGTTTTTATGTAGGGTCTATACGGGGCTCCAATTGTTTGGGAGAGGCAACTAAGAACACAGAGACCATGGCGGGTTTCCAGCTTTTTGTGCATGATCTTGCAAAAGTTTAACTTCAGTCAGTCCAAGCAAATATCTTCTCAAACACAGGCTCCCATCCGGGCTATTTCTGTTAAGAAAAGTAGTATTTCCGTTAAGAAAAGTAGAGGCCGAAGGCGATGGGCTCAGGCGCTCAGATTGTTGCCTGGCTGGCATCTGAGCTATTTCAAGTTTATCCGCTGTGATACTCGTCAATGTTTTTTCCCAGACATTGCTTGCATATCGCTTGCACTAGGTCACTAGGCGATACTACCCGGTTTGGTCATGTCGCGGACCACTCTTGAGACGGTGGTGTCGACTCTGCGGATTCGGGAGGTCGTCCTTTCATCAGATCCCCCATATTTTCGTTTATTGTATGTCAGCGCAATGCGCCAAAGTCCTGCGCGCATTATGGCTTAGGCCCCTAGATTATGCAACTCGTCCAGTGCTCCGTAAGTGCACGGCTGCTTTGGGCCCACAGCAGATTTGGACACCATGTGGCCTATGCATTCAACGTGCGGGTAGTTCCAGGTGAGGCTGAGGGCTGTACCAGGACGGACTCAACATGCAGTAATAGCAGGTGACAGTCCAGGAAGGTGGTCCCAGTAAAGCGACCGCCTGCAACGTCTCAGAATGGCATTTACAGAGTAAGGCGGCCAGAGGCATTGTGGAAATATCTGGCTGCCAGCAAGCTCAACTTGAATCCTTACACTCTAAGCAGCATACATGGTTCTGTCCTTGCGATCGTTGCTAACTTTCTGTTCTCGTTAGCTTCCACAGGAAAGCCTAAACCACAGGGCAGAGCGCCCGTTTCCTTGCAACTCTTCCCAACATCTTGAATATTGGAGGGATGAGGAAGGTTCGTCAAGAGATCAAAGATATTTCCCTGACCCCAACCCTTTACCCGACAAAGGTACCTAAACCCCTGACTGCCTTGAAAACTTAATTGCGGTAGACCCTAACCTGAATTGCCCGCAAAGCTGCCTAGGATTTAGGGTTTAGGGTACCCCAATTGCCCTGAACACTTATTCCAAATTATGGTTATCCAGATCCTCACATGATCAAATCAAGGAACCTGCCAGGTGGGTAGTTCTGTGGGTACCCTCAAAGAAGGCCTCTACAGACCTTACCTAGCCCCAATTACCCTCATACTAGGCTTCCATGAGTCTTCTTTAAAGGTTCCCACCTGGATAGCCATTAACCTGTAGGTGTACCCGATCCCCATATACACCCCAGGTGTCCATTTCATTTCTCCAAGTTCGGCGGTTTAGAGCTTAAGGTCAAGGGTATTCTTGGTGCATTACTCCCCCTAAACCCTAAACCTTAAGCCTTAGGCCTTAAGCCCTAGACCTGAAAGAAGAGCCGATCCAGGGCCTCCTGGTAAGCACGGTGGTCAAGGTGATCGGATCGTATGGCTTGACAAGTCAGTGGCTCAGAAGGATGGCATCAGATAAGCATGTTTAGGTTTTAGGGGTTTACGGTTTACGTTTTAGGGGTTTGGAGTTCAGGGTCTACGGCTTAGGGACATCAGTGTTCACGGTTTAGGGTTCGGTAGGGCTTAGGTTCCTAGACAAGTGCAGCTTCGACAGTGCAAAAAAATTGTGCTGCCTCGAGGCTTTCATGCGGCAGGCCTAGGATTTGTCAACGATCTTCTCGTGAAAGCTGTTACATGCATGGGAGTTTCCCCTAAAAAAGGGGTGCCTTGATTTTTGGAAACCCCCGTATAAAGATACATGGGGCAGGTGCTTGATGACCAAGTTCAGATTCGAGATCAAAGTGCCGTCAACAAGTTTTTGCCTCCTGTTATAGAGCCTAACCTGGTGCTGTACTGTAGCACTTTGCAGGCTTTCGCATGTAATTGGTGTATGTGGGCCATCCACTTGCGCTGGCTTTTCATCAGACATGGAACGTATTTTTCAACATGGATATTTTGGAAGCCTGCTTGCTGAGTGAGGCAATGTCATGTTGGCTCTGATCAACGACGTCACGGCGGCAGAGGCGAGGCTCATATATTCTGATGGTTTCCATCTCCTTTCCATTATCCCAATCACGAAAGCTCCATCTCACGGAGATCGGGGGGGGGGGGGTTGGGGGGAGGGGGGACGCCAATTTTGTTGGGGTTTTCGGTTGCCCTGCACGACAGGCTGGATTTTCCGGCGTGCCATGGAGGGCC